TCAGCCTTTCTTTAATATTCTTAGGTCGTTTTTTAAAGTAATGTCTTAGTACTTTAGCTACAGAGGTTGAACTACTAAAGGCAATATTAAGTGAACATTTTTACAGCAGGTAGTTACACCTGATTTACAGAAATTCCCACAATTTCTTAGGTTTAGAAACATGTTTTTTCATTTTAAATCTATCTATATCTATCTATCATCTATCGCTATCATCTATCTATCTCAAGAAAAAATAGTTTAGAAATGGTGTACACTTCAAATGTCTATGGGCTACATCACAATTAAAATGGGACAAATACACAAATTGCTTTGCCTACCTGCCACTCTATCCAAAGCATTGGTTTCATTAGTTACATTTCTCTGGAAGCCTTAAGTGGAATGAAAAAGTCCCAAGAAGAAATACAAGATTTTACTTATATACAATAGTGAAATCTATATTGTCCCCAAGATATTTTTGTGGATGCTCAAGAGGATGGAAAATCTTATCACTAGTTGATAGGTGATGATAACATCTTATGATAGCTCTGAGCTTATTCCCACAATAGGAAAAGGATCTCACTAGATTATATAAACACACTGAATGCATTTATGAATTGCAAATGAATTATAAAAAATGCAATGCGAAAAACCATGCTCATTTTGTAGAAAATTATTTCTGTTGAAAGTAGAGGAATTTTTATTTAAATTGAGAAAACAGACTGCTGCCCCTCAATAAATATTTATATATTACTTACATTCTGAAACTATATTAGTGGGACAAGTAAAGCACCATGGAATAACCTTACTGGATAAGATAGCCTGCTATTGAATACATTTAAAGAAACGTTTCACTCTCAATTTTTGTTAAAAGGAAAATTATTCATTTAAATTATGTACTTCAATTGTGCCCTGACTGCGAATGGAACCTGGTTCATAGGTCGATGCTCAACCACTGAACCACACCGGAGGGGCTATAAACTGTTTGTGTGGTTTTTCACCTAACAAATAAGTCACAATAATTTTCTCATATTATCTACATTCTGGACTTGGAAGGTGTTATTTAAAGACTTCCACATTCATATCCATCTGCCTCTTCTCACCGTCCAGCAACAGAAGGGCCAGGCTGAGCCCAGCAAGGGGTCCCAGAGAGCAGGCTTCCTGCTGGCTGTTTAAAGTCGTGCAACTGACTCAGCCCGGGGGGAAATGGAATCAACCTACAACTCTGCACTGAGCACTCGGAGGCCAACTCCCACCTCTGCCTTAGGGCCTTCTGCTGGGGCCGCCCATCCTACCTGTCTATCACACCACACAGCAGGCGACTCCTTTTAGCTACTAGCTTTCTGGTTCGCTCATGTCATACTCTTTTAGGTTTTTCTCACCACTGCTATCCTTCAATGCAAACATAGTCCTACCTCCTCAGCCTCTTGCCTTTACTGTCCACTCCCAAAAGCACCAAGCTCTCCAGGCACGGATCCATAGGCAGTTTGATATTCCATTCTCTTATGTGTCTTGGCCCATGTGTACACTTGAGGAGGTGAACTCCAGCTTCCATGTCAGAAAAGAGTCTGCAATAGATGTATTTTTGCTTACCTAGACTATTGCTATAGCTCTAACTCCCTCAAGTTATGCCTTTCTCCCCACCACACTGTTTCTCCTCCACAAATCCATCCATGTAGCTGTAAATGAGCTTCTTAAAAACAAGTTCTGATTATACCATTTGTTTGCATAAAATTCTCCAGTGTGCCACCATGGCCTACAGGATCAAGCCCAAGTACCTTCTACAGGGCTCTCTGTGATCTCTGTTATTGGCTCCTCCAGCCACCCCACCTGTCACATTCCTACCTCACTGTGTGTTGTAGTAACTCTCAGTTATTGTTCTCTGCCCTCCGGACACCATTTCACACCTTTGTGCCTTTATATGTGCTTCCTTTTTGTCTAGAATCTTCCTCTCTTCTTCTCTGCCTGGGAAACTCCTACTCATCCTTCAAAGTCCTATTCCAAAGATATTCTCACAAACTCAAAGCACCGCTCTACATATTTCTTATTAGTTACAAAGAGTAAAAGTTACCTTTATAATGTAGAAACCTAGCTAATGCTCCTTTAACTGGGTGGTCAAAACTATTACCATCATAAATAGGACAAAGAGATATCACATGCCCCAAGTGCAATGAATTGGGAATGACACACTCTGGCAGCATTCTTGCCAAAAATATTTCACCTGAATCTAATCCAGAAGGAAAGATATCCAAACTGAAAGATGTTCTGCAAAACCGGCCTCAAATCTTCAAAACTGTCAGTGTCAGGGAAGACCAAAACAAAACAAAAGGCTTGGAAACCATTCCAAATTTAAAAATGCTAAAGAAGCATGACCACTAAATGCAATGTGTGCTCCTTGATTCCATCCTGGATCAAATGGAGGGGTGATGGTAGAAATCAGCTACAGATAAACTTATTGGGAATATTGGTGAGTTTTGAGTATGGGTTATATATTAGATAATGTCGGGTCAATGCTAAATTTCCTGAGTATGGTCACTGCATTGTGGCGATGTAGGAGAATGAATTGTATTTGTTCTTAAGACATATGTACTGAACGGCTAAAGTGTTGCCATATGTACATTTAACAAGCAATGGTTCAGCAAAAAGAAACAAGCAAACAAATCTGTGTGTTTGTACATGAAATAAAGAGAATAAGGAAATGTGGTGGGGAAGTGTTAACAACAGAGGAATTACAGGTGAATGATAAAGGGGTGTTCATTGTTCTGTTTTTCCAGCTTTTCTCTGTTTGAAAATTTTCAAAACAAAAATTTGGACAGCTCTTCTGACTCCTCTCTGTCTCACAGCTTCGCTAACAAACATTCTTTCACTGAAAAAAACACACAAACTTGCACAGAATAAACAAAAAATAATAAAAACAAACAAAAATTATGTACTGTGTAATTCCTGAGGTTAGCAGGACATCAAATGTTCCCTTTGCATTTTGTCCTGTCTTGCTTTTCCTGCCTCCTCCTTGAAAACATTTATTACATGCTCTATTTGCACACATTATATGCTCTATTCCCATGCCACTGTTGCAAAATACAATTACTAATGACTTTTCGGTTTCTAGTTACAATCCCTCAGAAGGCCCAGAAGTTTCTGTTGTGCATATAGGTGCAAGGACTTGCCTCTCTCTATATATTTTTTAAGCTTCTATATTCTTATAATAGATTACCTTATAGAATCACGAAGTTTTCAAGGGTTTGTAAAAACAAACAGAAATACAGAGTGTCCCTCAAAATGTATACACACTTTAACAGCTGATAGCTCAATTCTGAAAATGAAATGTATTTTAATAAACACAGCCTTTATAATTATTCAAAGTGTGTATATACATTTGTTGGGACAACCTATAGACTTGACTAAGATAACTAATTAGTTGATATAGTCTAAACTGGTCTTTTTGGACAGAAGATTAAATAAGTGTTATCTTTAAAGGACACTTATTCTAGTAGGGCCAGTAATAAGGAAAGAAACATGAATCCGTTGTGGGTATTAAGAAATAAATAGCGGTTGTACACCTCTAAGTACAATGTGATTTTTATATTGTGCTTATGACACACTCCGGTTACAATGAAAAACCTACGATGTGCTAATTTTGTGGCAGAGGCATTACTGCTGAAGATGGTAATAGTTCTTGCGTAGTCAGCAGTATGAAAGCAGTGGCCTTTCACCAAGGCTACTTGTGATTCGTTGGACCCCTTCCAGTTGCAGCTGGAGAGATCCCACTCAAGTGTCTTTAATGATATAGGTAAACTTGTCAGCTGATGTGACCCCGAAAGCTAGAAGTAGCCTGGCTTCAGGCATGGGTGGATTCAGGGGTTCCAATAATAACCTTTGATCTGTCTCTTACTTGTGATCTCTCCTGTAGTACAAAGTAGTCACCACAGTCACATGATACTAGTTTAGCAATCTAAGCAGAGAAAAGTAATGTTTATAGATAGTTCCAGGAGAAAAGTTACAGTGAAGCATTTATTACCCTAGATCCGTGATTTTTAACCTTTTTTTTATCTCGTGGCACACATAAACTAATTACTAAAATTCTGCAGCACACACAAATTTTTTTTTATTTTTTGCCAATCTGACAAAAAAATGGGTATAATTTTTGATTTTTTCACACTGGATGGCTATTGTTGTGTTGGCTGTTGTCATTTTTTATTTGACAATCTAAGGGGAAGAAGTCATTGCCCCTGACTAAATAATCAGGTATTGCATGTCTCAAAAATTCTTGTGGCACCCCAGTGTGCCTGCCACAGCACACCTGCTGAGAAATCGTTGCCCTATTTCTCACTAATAAGCCTGTTTCTCACTAACTGATATCGGCACGAACACTACATGGACAAGATTATTCAGGAAAGAGAAACTATTAAAGAATGAGAGAAGATTTCAAAAGAAAGAAAGAGAGAGAGAGAGAGAGAGAGAGAGAGAGAGAGAGA